CGGAGCTAGTACCAAAAATCTCCGTAACCCTCACACGAAAATTCAGCAACCTGTTAGAGTAGCCTTTGAAGCATCCTACCGCTTGATGCGTTCTCCACCACTGTAGGTTTCTTTTTCTGGAATGCACTCCCGCATTCGGGCAGTTTAACGCTTCGAATGGTCCTCTCTCAGGTTGTTGATGAAAGATAGTCATAGTCATAGTGATAAAGCCAGTTGCTGCTGTTCATGGCAACTGAGTAAACAACCGCCATGCTTCTGAACTCCAGTTGCTTTAGCGGCCGTACATGATGTCGATAGCGATAAGAGCATAGGAGTGAGTTGTGTACGAACTACTGAGAGCCTGATACCTGTCATATCAATCGCATTGTGGCAGTAAGCGGTGTTGCGGATTCCCGCATGATGACGCTTTCAACCCTTATCAGTTGCTGTCACTTAGTGTCACCCGTCAGTGGGTTTCCGCCCCCCTCCCCCTATACCACTTCTTTGAACCAAGATCCCACAGACCCTGCAACCTGCCCTACAAAGTTGGTGACCCTCCGCATTCAAGGCCCCTTATCGAGGCTTATCAGATGTTATCAGCTGCAACCTGCGCTAGGATTTGGTGACACCCACGTCCAAAGTCCCTTATCGGATCTTATCAGTTGTTATCAGCTTCTGTCAGCCACCACCCTACCGTGTATATCACTTCTTGAAATCACGGTCCCGCAGCTGCTGCAACTTGCGCACGAATTCGGTCACCCTCCCCTTCCAAGCCCCTTATCGAATCTTATCAGGTGTTATCACCTCCTGTCACCCACCAAAGATGTTCCCATCCTTCCGTGTACATCACTTCTTGAAATCACGCTTCCGTAGCTGACGCAACTTGCGCTACGAATTCGGTCACCCTCCCCTTCTAAGGCCCCTTATCGAATCTTATCAGGTGTTATCACCTTCTGTCACCCACCAAAAGTGTTCCCGTCCTGCCGTGTATATCACTTCTTGGAACTGTCATCCTATCTTTTCTGCGACGCTCGCTATGAATTTCGTGACAGACAGACAGACGCACACACAGACACACACACGGACATAGCCGATTATATATAGTAGGATAGCCACCAATTGGCTGCCATGATGAGAATGCGTAACCTTTCGAGAAAAACGCTAGGATCCAAGTCTCACATAATGGTAGAATAATAGTGGTGTTCTACGTGTGAATCATCTGAAAAAGGGCATTAGCTCTCATCAAATATACCTGCTGGGCACTATCTCACTTAGAGGGAGTAGACAGGAGGCGCCCATGGTGTGGCCGCTCGGCGTCTCGAATGGTGGGTGGAGATGAACAATGGCTCTAAGCAATGAAGGGCCTCCTGCATTCTCGTCACGCACTGAGGAAAGTGATACATTCCTCCAATTCTCCAACTGCCATTATTGAGAAAAAGATCCCCTCTTTTATGGTTAGCTAAAAGCGGAGTGTGATTTTTTAGCTGCTAATGGTGTTTCATAGAGAATGGTGAAACCTGTTGCAGAATGTAAAACGGCAACCAGTTACTGAGGAAAACGAACCCGTAGACATGCATTTCAGAGATTTCTGACTAAACGAAAATAATGGATACAGCAACAACACTGAGGGTAAACCACCACAGTGTCGCGATTTGCCACACCATCAGTTTATTAGATAGTTTTCAGGATCTCAGACATCCCTGCAATCAAAATGTCACAGGACGATGAAAACGACGGAAAATTATCATTTGAAACAACGTCACGGTAATTGAAGCTGGGGATAATCGTCTAAAGCTGGGCGCTAACGTAGTTGGGTGGGGTGGGGGCAGGACTGACCACTCGGCAGCGCTTTCATATACCTTATCTAGTCGATGCTCAGGCACAGTGCCGCATAGGAGATGATGTCTTCCCTGCGACACTATCCTCCCACTCTGGTCGTCTGCGCTTTTGTCTGAGCCTTTTCGGGGAAAGGATACAGAAGCGTGACCGAATGGCGTCCTTCCCCTGGCGCCCGAAGCTGTTCTATCACTCCATCTGCCATTATTTCAGGGATTCGTATAAGTGGAATGCAGGAGCTGGAGAAAGGTTCATGATGATTCATCCTGGGGACCAAATCGATATGAATACTGATCCAATGGACGCGAGAACCACTAGCAGGTACTATTGAGAATACCTCCACTTTCAGTTGATTTCTATCACCACTTATCCCTTTAGAGAGTCGTATAGAGAAGGAACAGGTGACACTCTCCCAATATATCATCCGAGTGATCACTTTGGCGGAGACTCTGATCCTTTAGACTTGAACACAGTCAACAGGTACAGTGCGGCAGTCTCCTCGGCATATTGTTTCTCTCGCCGATACATTATTGTTCCAGGGCAAACATACACAGGTGGAGTTGGCGAGAGATTCACGGCTACTCGCCCAAAAGATCAGATTGATAGATATATGAATGCAGATTCCTTTTGACGGGAGCACGACCAACAGGTACCGTAACATTGCTCTCATTTGGGAGCTGTTCGACCTGGGCAGCAGGAACGATTTCGCAATGCAAGTAATCGCTGCTACCGTAATTCGCGTGCTGGCTTTATTTTTCGAGTTTGGGGGAGTTTCATTTGCCATTATCCCACCTCCGGCCACACTGATTCCACGGTCTGGTGCAAAAGGTCGTTTCGCGCGCGAGCCTCCGTCTAGGATGATGATGATCCTTGGAGAAGGTGGGTTACGGTAGCAGCGGCTCACGAACTCTGTTCTGTCACGAGAGAGGAAGGAGGGCATTCCAACTTTTGGTAGTCCCAGTCAACGAGCAGTTTCTTGGGAAGCGGTGCAAATGCACCACTTTAATCAACAGGGATATGAAGGTGATCACAAACATACTATACAACATTCGTTAATACCAGTTGATGCCCGTATCAAACTGGAATGCACCCTCTTTTAGACTCAGCACGATTGATTTGTTTCAGGGAATCCTACAGAGGTGGGATCGGTGAAAGATACCCTGTGACCCGCCCAATAGACCATTTCAGCCTGAATACAGATCCATGGGATGGAAACACGATCAACAGGAACCGCAGCTTCATCTCTCTCTGGTCACCGAATTTCGCATGGAATGAAAAGGCCATGTGAAAGTCTTGAGCAGTTTTTCTTGCTCCGTTGTGATTCTCTCTGAGCCCTCAACTAACTGCACCTAATTGAAGGCAGCGCCCGCGTTCAATTCGGAGTTGTGGGGCTTAGACACTGACAACAAGGTAGCACGTAGCTCACTAGTGAAGAAAAATGCAAAAAAATCATCGGATATGCCCTGTATAGGACCCTATGCCGAGCTGAGGTTGTGCGTGCTCAAGGCGAAAAGAAGTGCGGTCGCACGAGTTCTCACTTGTTGATATCAGCTGTTTTCCCTTATCACCTCACTCTCACCACTCGACGTGGAGAGAAGCAGCAGCGGAACAACCGCACCATCAGGCAACCATTTGAAATGAAATTGGGCGTAGTGGTCGCCAGGTGGGCGGGGTGGCCGACTCTTCACGAGCGGGCGCGGCTATTCTCTCGCATTTTTGAGTTGCGAAACTAGTACGTCCAACATCCTCATAGGGTGAGCTACGATATGCAAAGAGGGCGTGGAAACAATAAATGAACGCGGGCGCTGCCTTTAAGACCGCTTCGTAGGGTTTTAGCAGTTCTTTTTAATTCTTCCTCTTGGAGGGTCTGAGTGAGTGAAAAGGATTTTTCTTGGGGTCGGAGCTTCATCTGTTCTCCGCTCTTTCGGTGCTCTACTGAGTCCAAACTCTATTGAGTGTTCCTCGTGCGCTGTAATGAAGCCGTAATCGGTAGCTATCCAGTGAGAAGGTGTACGGCATCCCATCGGCTTGTGAAAATTTTCCCCAACTACAATCGTTTTTCTTCCTGAAACTCCTCCCTAGAAATATTAACATATTTATACATACCCATGCACCCATACACGCGAATACGTACAAACACATCCATTTCAATGTACACGCATACATGTACGCGTACATAGAAAATGTATCCTCTCAAAGATTCCAAAGACACGGTTTTCAGCAAGGCATGATACACCTTACATGGCACCGCGGGTCGACTCTCTTGAGTCAACGCGCACGATGCCGCTCTTGTAAATTCACACTTAACCCCTCCTTATCACTCTAGTTTATGCTCACCGTTGATGCTGTCTTCACAGTCGTCAGTGTTTTAGAGAATCGTTCAAGGGAAGGAACTGGTGAGCGCTTCTCGATGACTCGTCCGAAGGATTAAATTCCTTTGAATTCTGAAGGAAGCACAGTGAACAGGTATGGGTTGGTCTATTTGGATTGGCTATGCACTTTGCACAGGCAAAGTTAAGCAATAGTTAGTTAATTAGTTAGGCAATTAATCAGGCAAAGTTTGTTCCGAGTGACGGACGAGGCCCTAGCATGCAAGCCAAGGCTCTATACTGCCGATTTGCACCATTTTTGAAAAGTGGGCGAGGCTTCTTCAAAGTGGGCGGAGCCTCTCACAGTGGGCGGGACTTCGTGGAGCAGTCCAAAAATGCAAAAAAACTTTTGAAAAGTATGATTCCGCAAACAGCAAGTGGGCGTGGCCAAAGGGGCGGAGCCTAAATTGCCGGTGCATGAATGCGCGTCTACGAGTACCTTCGTTGTGCGAAGAGTGGATGTGAAATTGAAAAAGTTATGAAGATTTGAAGTTCGCAACAAACTTTAAAGAATGGGCGGAGTCAGTCATGTGTTGAAAATCTATGTCCGCGCTGACAAGTAGGCGTGACCGTCGGGGCAGGGTTCGCGGTGGTGTCTGGCGTGATGGTTGGTGAACTGCCTGGTCTAAGAAGAGTGGTGAATTTGGTTTGAAAAGTGGTGAATTTGCTTTGAAAAGTGGTGAATTTGCTTTGAAAAGTGGTGAATTTGCTTTGAAAAGTGGTGAATTTGCTTTGAAAAGTGGTGAATTTGCTTTGAAAAGTGGTGAATTTGAAGTGAAAATGGTATATATATCTCAGATCTCTTTCTAAAAGTGTGAAGTTTCAGAGACTACTCCGGATGGTGGCGCGACAACGATGCCATTACCCGTGCCACCGCCACCGCCTCCACCAATGGGTGGTTTTCCCACACCTCCTCCACCACCACCAGCACCACAAGCCGACCTGTCTCGTATATTATCTGCTCCAGCTCCTCCGCCACCTCCACCTCCTCCATCCCAATGAGTGCGATTTCCCTCCTCTGCTTCCGATCTATTCTCGCTGTTGCATCCTCATTCTGTGTGGGTTTATAACGTTTTTTTGTGAATTGCTTTGTTTGTTCGAAAATCAATAGCTCTGTTGGGAATGCTTGTTATTTATTTTTACGTTCTTAGAAGTTGATGTTGAAACTACCCTTTTTAAACATGTGATTCGAAACTAGTTGGTCGGTCGAACATGTCCAATGTTCTCCCTGGTAGATGGCGAATCGATGATTCCATACCCATAAGTGATCTTGCCCTCCGGTTGTGGTGTAACCCATAACCTCCATTTTTTGTTCTCGTCCATGGGTCCTTACTACTTAGTATCCTGTTAACATTTGCGACCCGAAATAATGCCCTCCAGGGTGATTGGCTCATTTGCCCTGTCTCATGGGAATACCCTATCCATGGTCCGCACAATCGTTGTTTTACAGGTCGGGTACCTTCTGTGCTCGAGCAGTCTGCACCGCTTTGACCACTAGCGGTAGAGCTAGACAAGTCCAGCAACCTAGTAGAGCAACGGTCCAAAACCACGGGCGACCGACAAGGTTCTGAAGGCATCTCAACAGTGTTTCTGTCAGACTTGAGAGATCATACACGACCATAGCAGTTTTTCTTGTTATATGCTCGTCATGTATTGTTTGTTGCTTTTGGATTTTTTTCCATCAATAAAGTAATTGTGGTGATTTCACTTT